GTAAAGCAAGAGAAAAAAAAATAATGTTCCCGCGCCCGCCATGTTTGAAGGAGCAAAGGCCAATGTTTACATCTGCCGGGCTAAAGCTTTTTTTCCAGCCATTAAATACAACTCACGCTCTTTACAAACCCAACCAAAAAAAAGAATGTCTATTAACGAAAAAGACATCACACAGGATTCAGTCATCATAGCTTATCCAGTAGATTTATATTATCATTTTTTACGTTCCCTAAAAAGTAAAATGCAAAGATGGATTCTTTTATTCCTCCCGTTGATGTTCCTTCCGGTTTCCGTTTGTCGGAGAAGAAAAATGAGTCAATAAAATAAGTCATTAAGATAACAGATTCAGTTTATGTCGACCGCCATCGTTGTCATCACCGTTATCAACACAAACTCATCATTATCATTACCACGTCATCACCCTCGTCATTCCCATTAGCTGCGTTACCTTATTTTGCCATCATTACTTTTGTTATTTTTATTATTACCGTTATCTTATTATTATTATTATTATTATTATTATTATCATTATTATTATCATTATTATTACTAATATTTGTTGTACTATTATTAATACTGTTGATGCCAGTGGTCTATTGATCACAATATTATTATTATTATTATTCATATCCCGACCAATGACAATATTTTTTAATACAAAATTACCAACGTAATGCATTAATTTTCACCACTCCGAGGACCAATGTTATAATCATATATGGAATTGTCATTATCAAAAAATAGGTAGAATATTAGGGAAGGCCTATTCACAAGTTTATAATAATTATAATATTTATAATCTATTTATTGTTAGTATTTGCGCTCAATTAAGGAGTCAGAGTAATAGTATCTATATATAAGAAATATGATTCAACTGATATCAGCTGTCATTATAATTAATATTATAAATTATTGATATTATCGCTAATTATCAATCTCTTACAATTATTGAATTTATAATAGTGATAATGACAGCACATATAGAATACAGACTGGGAGATAACAAAACAAAAAATGTATAAGAGATATTTGTGATAATATGAATAAAGATGATGATGGCAATGATAATAAATAACAATAACGATAACAATGATGATAATAGTAGTACTAGTAGTAGTAATGATAATAATAATAATAATTATAATAGTAATTATGATAACAAGAGCAGTGAGAATGATATCAATAATGAGAATAATGATTATTAGTATACCAATAGTTAAGAGAAATTAATGAGAGACATAATAAAATTTATCATAAAAATGATAATGATTATTATCAGAATAATGCATAACTTTACTATGATTATTGTATATTATTAATGGTAATCTGAATAATAATAATAATAATAATGATAACAATGATAATAACAGTATTGGTATCATGATAATAATAATGATACCAATAACAACAATAATGATAATACAACTGATGACAATAATAGCAACAACAATGATTATGCAAATAATGATAATAATGCTAATGCTAATAACAATAATAATGATGATAATAATGATAATCTTAGTTCACAGTATGAGCAACACCGATAATGCTGTTGGTACTACAACTTTAGAATACATAAATAACTGTACAGTGATGACAGAAATAATAGTCATTATATTCTTATTGTTTTTTATTGATTAATCATGATTATAAAGGTTATTGAGGTTATTACTTATAGTTAGATTTATGTTATACTAAATATTAATATAATTCGTATTAATATTGTATCACTAGCGAATACAGGAAGAATCTTAAGAACAATAATATTGCCGATGATAGTAGTAATAGTAGTAATGATGATAATAATGACAATAATAATGAAAATCATAATAATAATGATCATTAATATTATCTTTGTAATCACATGATAATAATAGTAAATATAATAGTAATAATAATAATGATAATAATAAGAATAGTAACAATAATAATATATAATAAATAATAATAGTAATAATGATAAATAGTAGTAATAATAATAATAATAATAATAATAATGATAATAATAATAAAATATTTTTATCCAGTAATAATAACAATTTTATCATTATCAGTGTTATCACCATTCTTACTAAGACAACTCCTAATCTTAAATAAGAGTCACCCCCCCCCCCCCACCAGCCCCCACCCTCCATTCACGAAAACGCAGCGAAATCCCTTCCCATCGCGATAAAATAACGACTCTATCACGACCTCGGCTCGAAAACAGGGACTCTGACCTTATCATCTGTATCATCATATTAGCATCACCAACTCTATCGCCTCCTCTTTCCCCTCCCCCCTCCCTCCCTCCCTCCCCCTCGCCGGCCCCCTATTTCAGAAATTGTTTTTTTCTTCCTCGGCCCTCCTCTCCTCTCTTTCTCTTCGTCCCTTCTCTCTTTCTCTTCCTTCTCTGTCTGTTTTCCTCCTCCTAACCTCTCCCCTCCTCCTCTTCCTCCTCATGCCTATTCCTACTTCCTCGTCTATTCTCTTCCTCTTCCTCCCTCTTCTCCCCTATTCT